ATTATATCAGGCAGCATGAGAAAAACAATATACAGAAGAGATGGCATTCCTTCACCTTTTATAAATTATACATACATATTCCAAAGTAGACCTGAAACTTTCCTATATGGTGTCGGCATTTCATATCTGAACACGAATACATGAAAGTTCTGACTGGAAACGCTTTTAACTTGTGTTCACATATTTCTTCTTACTCTATTTTTAAAGCAGGCATTAATTGGATCCTCATCAAGTTGCAAGACTGGTGTCTAAAACAAGTAAAGCCAGTGGAATGCAGTGGGCCATATATCAGACTAGGAAAGGAAAGACCTGGGTTCTAATCTTCTTCCATAGAAACTCACATTGGACTAATCACTCTCTCAGCCAACCCCCACTCCCCAATATGGGGATAATGCTGGTGATGGTGGTGGGGGAAACAGGCTACCCATCCACCTTTACTTCCTAAGGTAGAAGTATAGATATAAATAGCTATCATAATATTTATAATGGCACTGAAAGTCAATTTAGGATTTTTGAAAATTAGTATGTGCTAATGAGGTTTTTGCGTACTGATCGTTGCATATTATCTTGATTTTATTAAAATAAACATGGGACATACCTCAGAGAAATAACATTATACATTTTCTTGGCTCCTGAAGTAGCTGCCTATGGTATTCTTAGTATCATTGGGCTCTGATCCTGTTACTGAGCATCTTGGGAATAATGAGCCTTTAAATCATGCAGCATGATTTCTGGCAATGCAGCTGAACAGATTTCACTAACTATGGCACATAAGTATTTGGAGAATCAACACTTTGCTTTTTTGAGTGTGGTCCAAATATGCAGTTGACCTAACAACAATGAAACCTAAGGATATTTATTCTAGTGTTACTGAGAACATTGTGTTTGGTTTTGTTTATGTAGTGACTAGAATGAAGCACGAAAATGCCTTACCCTAAGTAATGTGGGAGTGGGAGTAATCACTCTTTCTAGGCCCAAAAGGAAATGACTTAAAGAGTTTCAGGAATCTGTTTGTAATTTCGCAATGAATTTGGCTTGCCAATTTATATGATAAATAACTCGAAGACATTCTGTTTTAAAAAACAGAACGTTTTTACTTGCCTAAATGTTCCATTTGTGTAATCGTTGTATAAACTGAAATTTGCTAGTGTGGCAATAATAATATGATATAGGAATGTTGCTTATAACACTTGTGTTGGTTCTCCAGCCATGTTGTGCCCCATTTCTGATCTCCATTTTTGAGAGGAAGTTGTTTTGCTGATGGGTAAACTGCAAGTAGAGTACATTTAGTCTTGATTTTATCTTCCAGTAATCTTATAGTATTATCCTGCAACACATTTTAACAGTTCATTCTGCCTTATGTAGCAGTTCTGGTCAATCAGTCTTGGGCAACCATATTTACTAAAAAGCCAGACCCCCCTGAATTCTTAAGGTGTTAAATCTTGGCTAAAAGGTTAAAAGACTTAAATACTGTCTACCAACATGGCCTATTGCCAACCTGGGCATTCATGTCTTCCAATCCTGGTCCTATTAGCACTGTAATGAAAAACGTCTTGCTGCTGGTCATCCTAGCCTTATTATCCATCTAATAATAAATGTGTACAATGAGATGGGTGGCATATAAATTAAATAAATAAATACAGGAGCCCAAAACTCAATCTCTTTGCCATCATCACCATCTACTGTACTGGAACCACCCATTTAGGAGAACCACAGCAAAACTCTGTTCCCCACTGTTCCTAATCCTCTGAGACAGGTCAGGAGGATATCATAACTTATGGTATTGAAGGCTGCAGTACCATGAGGGTCCGAAACACAATCACATTCTTGCCAGAGATCATCACAATTTTGTCTCCATTCCTGGTGATGCATTTTTTTTCTAACACCAATATGAGCAGCTTTTTTCTCATCACTATATTGTGCAGCTCAAACAATCAATGGGAGGTTTCTTTGTTTCTAAACCATGGCTTATGCTTCAACTGCTCAAAACATATCTTTGGAAATATAAAGTACACAATTCTGTATGCTGGTCTCTCTCAGGCACTTTAAAAATAACCAGTAATAAGGCAATCTGATCAGTGCATGGGAGAAAGAGTTAAAAATAGATTCTTGGATACAGAGTCCTGACAGAAAGAAATGAAGTAAAAATTTCTAATTTTCGGCAACTAAAATCAATAGTTTGACTTTAAAAATATGGCTGGTTTTGATTAAAGAGGAAATATTTACTCTTTCATATTGACACTGATAATCTAATCAGGAAATAAGAAATCGAAATGGGTCACCATAAACATTAAGCTTGATGGATGGCAAAATACGTTTGCTGTCAATTTTCCAATCAGTAAATACAGGAATAAAGATCATTTTCTAAAAAGCATATAGATAGCATACAGACTAGATGTAACTATCTAAAAGTATTGTAGCAGGGGGCAAAGGTCTCTTCATTATTATTTATTACTCATTAAATTTGTATGCCACCCATCTCCCCTATAAAGTGACTGTCATATTTGTGTTCTGTTTCATATTGCTGACTTTAATGTTCAATAAAAATGAAATGAAATACTTCTGGTTTGAAAATAGTGTTTTACTATTGGAAACAACACTGTTTACAATGTTTTCTACTTGCTGGCGCTGTCATACTATTCTCTTTTAGCCAAGCTAAGCATACGAAATTTTAAAGTTGTTTTTTTAGTAAATTTGGCAAAGTAACATTGTGTGTGAGCTATTCAGTGTTTGGATTTTTCACACACTAGTTTTCATAAAGTTTTTCCATATAAGCATTTTTTAGCGATGCCTTCAAATTTAAAACACTTATTACCCAAGGGATGTTCTTGCCTATTGATCACACATAAATAAGTGGAGCAAAGCAGAAAATGAATCAAGAAATGAGCAGTGAATGGAATCACTAAGAATTAGTCTTGTCTGTATGAGCAAATTTTAAAATGGAATACTAATAGTGAAAAATAAGTTATAAAATATGGGAGGAAACATGCCTAGTCAATTTGATTTTCATTCAGATTAATATAGGAAAATACAGTATGCATATCATTGCTAAAAAAGCATTAACAATAATATAGTTGCTGTTTAAAATAGCCCTGGCATTTCTGCCTCCCCCAATTCTCTGAATGCATTGGTTACATTTAATTGCTGTACCAACACAAACTCTGATTTGTCTAGCAGGAAAGGAAGTTGCAGTTGAAATGCCTCAAGCACCAGTGATCTAGTGAAAGCTGGAAAACAAAACAGACAAACAACACACCTTTATTTTCTGTGTTAGCTCTGACACCTACTGGCACAATAATGCTATACAGTAACTCTATTAGACATAAGCAAATTATACAAAACAGTCTTATACCAGAAAGTGGGAAAATAAATAAAAGGCAAATATCTTTGAAGATAAATATTCCAACACTCCTTTCATTTTGCCATCAAAAATCAAGTTGATTTCACCAGGCAATGGGACCGCTCATTAAAATGTTTCTGCATATAAATATAAGTGCATTTGTTTTGCCTTTCCATAAGACATTTAAAAACCACTGTAATGCAGTACTCAATCCTCAAATTACTGTGAAGAGAGAACTGCTTCTGTAGAACCTTGCTCAGTGTTACTTTCCATAAATTAGAAAATGAAATTTAATTTTCAGAATAATTTTGATAACCAGGCCCTGATTTTGACAATTCCTAGTACTTCCAGTCAAAAGGCAGTCCTCTCCCCTTCCTTCCTTCCTTACTCCCTCCCTCATTCCTCCCGCTCCCCCTCCCCTTCCGCTCTCCTGCCCTTCCCTTCCCTCTCCTCTCCTTGCAGAATAAAGACACAGTGGGAAAACCTGTATGGGTTACCAACAGTAGAGTGTGTCTGACACTTCTAGTTAAGAGTGCGTTCTTGAACAAAGCTGTAGGATTGCACAATTAATATCCTTGTTTGGAAGCATTCAAAGCTTTCAGCTATAGGAACAGGCAAAATGAGGAATGAACAGGCAAAATGAGAAATGAGGAAAATACTTATAAGCACCCTTTTTAATACAAGGAGAAGGAAAATGGCCCTGAACTTGCTCTTAATATGATTAGGGAGGGAGAGATGTCTGAAAGAACTTGCAAGATAAAAGCCTGTGTACTTAATGCACAAGTGTAAGTAAATATTTTTCTCATGCCACCTATATAAAAAAACAGCAATCTTAGAAATTCTTTCTCAGAAATATGACTGGTTAAAAATATTGATTTAGATCCAGGTCCCATGTTGAAATAATCCAGATTCTAATACCATTAATCACAATAACTGGCGTCAGTGGACCATTAATACCCATTAATCACAATAACTGGCGTCAGTGGACAGCCAGGGACAGCCAGGGATGCTCAACATGAAAGCATTAAGTTAATGCTTAACCAAGACCTCAATGCCAAACTGTATTTAATCTCAATCAAGCCAAGCAAGCGCCCGTTTAAATCACTTGCATATAGGATAGATATGATACGATTAGATCTTATTGGGTCAAATAAAGCACTAATGGGAACCAGTTCACTGCATTCCTATACTTTTGACTATTATTTTTATGCTGAAGTGTACATATTTCTTCTTCGTGTTGTACCACATGCACCCCCAGTCAAACCTGGTGTATGCTAATTGTATTGTCCTTGTGCAATTGCTTTTTGTCTTAAATTGGCCACACATTTTCACAAAACGCAATAAACCTAACCTCTGTTATTAAGTAACAGCCTCGATTTAGATAAAACTAATAAATATATATTTAACGTACTTCTACGAATAACTCCCTCGGCCTCCGTCCAGAAACAGGAAACATGCTGAAAAGAAAAGATAATCTCTTTAAAGCCGAGATTCTTAACTTTGGCAACTTGAAGATGCCTGGACTTCAACTCCCAGAATTCCCCCAACCGGCACGCTAGCGTTAAAACACCGGCCGCTTCGGCTGCAGAGGACCCCAGTGTACGTCGGGGACTACGTCGGGCACAAGGGGCGCTCACGCACCTAATACAATCTTCTCCGAGCGCCGTGAGATGACGTCAATTAGAATGCGTCACCGGTGGCGTCTGTCAGGAGCAAGGATGTCGCCGCCAACGCTCTTCAGCTTGCCGGAGGCGCGGTTGCGTTTCATGGTAAGTGGGAGACTGCAGACCTCCCGACTGGGAGCGCGAGTAAGGATGGGCCCAGTCCCGTTTCTCGCGTCCTTTGCTTCTCTGTCGACTTCAGACTGGCGTCGGTGGCTTTCTCATCCTCGTTCAGCGTTCAGAATGGAGATACTCTCTCCCTCTCCCTCTCTCTCATATAAAGGGAAAAAAAGGGAGAAGGAGTGTATTCATTCCTGTTCAGCCTAACTAAGCTTTACCTCCTATCACAAAGTGCTCTTCCAGTATTGGAAGAGGTGCTTAGAATAGACGTGTAGATTCAACATCAGCCCAGTATGACATCCCCAAGAAGTAGTTGATAGAGCTGCTCTTGGAAGTTGGGGAAGGTAAAACTAGGTAAGAACACTTCGGTCTTGGCTACTTCACCTTGGGCAGTACTCAGTTGCAACACAAAGGCCATAAAAAGAGAGTCCCAACCCTGGAAGAAAGTTCTGATAAGGGTTGAGCTTTTGATATACAAGCCATCATTGTACAGACAACTGGACTGATGCAGTTGTCTGTACTGTTGTGCTTCTGTTCTGTTTAGACATGATGAGAACCTTTATTATTTTACAACATCACACAGGTTCTAAATCTGGGGTTTTTTGATACTGTAAAATAATAAATGAAGGCTCTTGGCTTGTCCACACAAAACAGGAGTGCAGTCTGTCATCATTTTTGTGGGCTATAATTCAGTCTATGTCCTAAACGGTTTGAGGACTATCTACAGAACCCAACAGAAAATTGTATCTAGTGTGTGTTTAGAAATATGCTGAACAATAAAAAAATGGAACACTTTCCATAGTTTGAGGTGTGGTAAGTCCTAGGAGAGTAATATTTATGTCATCTTGAATTACATTTTCAAATTTAACTTTGATGTAGATTTTCTAAAACATATATTGCTTCAATATCTGATATCAAATAAGTTATTTCTCATTTTTATCTTAGAATTCTACTCGAGATGCACTAAAAAACAAAACCATTAAGCCTTTATTGAATGCATTCAGCCAGGTACCTGGAAGGTAAATTTCAATTTTATTTGTCATCATAACGAAAATATATATAGTATTTTATTGAAATTGAAAGTTTTAGCAAAACAATCTAATATTTTTATATATTTCTAGTGAAAATGAAAAAAAGTTAACACTGGATCAAGCTTTCCGAGTTGCTCTGGAAGAAGAAATTGTAAGTAATTTTTTATTAACTGTGTATCTGAAAGTTAATTGAATAGCTGAGTGATGTCATTCTAAACTGTATATAATTTTCCAGTTTCTGGAAGTAAGCTTCCAGAAGTGCGGGGTGTGGTTTGATCTCAAAACAAGGTTGAATGTCCAGAACACTTCAAATTATGTCTAGTTCAAGAGATCTACCTCTGCAGCTTTTGAATCAACAGCATGACCATGAGGCAGTTGAGCGGTGTACAGAGGAAGAACAATGCATTTTGTTCCTGAATCAATAATTTTCATGCATTTATATTAGCTACAGTAAGCCTTAAATTCTATTAGACTATATTGTGTTAAACCAATGAAGCAACTTAACATTGCTTCACTTGTGACTTTCCCATTTCTTTAGCCAAGGTGAGAACATCTCTAAATGCATATCTTTATACGTAGAAGGGTCCTGGCTTCAGAATATTTAGTTGCACAGATTCTATGGCCCAAAGAAACACTGTTCATATATGTTATTTACTTTGCATGAAATTAAAGTTGGAATCAAGGATGTTATACAAGTAGACCTTGCATAGTGATTGCCTCAGGCAGCAGCAATTTGAATTTATGACCATGATAAAAAAGTAAATTTGTAACCAATGTCTGCATTTATGACCTTCTCAGTGTCTTTGTCTCAGTCACGTTTGCCATTACAGTCCTTTTGTGTTGTCTTTTGCCTGACCTATTATATTATTTTCTTTTCTCCCCTCATAGAATGGAGAGAATGCCTAAACAAGCAATCTCTTTTTTTCACAGCACTTCCCTAAGGGGAAGTTAACAAACTCAGTTCTGTGACCTTAATTAGCTGGCTGGCAGCTGCTACTTGTAATTGACAAAACCTTAATCAGTTTCACACTTTTCTTTTTTTTTGCCTCCTAAGTGCTAAGTAAACAGCTAGCACAGTACATTCTTTTCAGTGTGTATTTTCTATTATGTATCTGGTTAATCTCTTATAATCCTTCCTCTCTAATAAATGTAAATACAAAATACAAACTTTATTTCCCATCTTGTAATTATCTCAGATCTGGGATATTTCAAAAGGGGAGTGGGGTGGGGGAAAGGGGCAATAAGATTTGCCCTTTTACCCAGCTTCCTCTTGAGTTGAGTTCTGAAAACTTTCTCCACTGTTTGAGGTTACATGATTTGGAGTCATAAGCTTCTATCATGTAAAGCAAAGGAAAGTTGAGGTAAAATTATAAACATAATTGTGGTCATACGATTTTTCACTTAGCAACTGAGTTTCTGGTTCCAATTGTGATTGCTAAACAAGGACTATCAGTATGCGATGAGCAAGACAAGATAAGATTAAACTGTTTGATTCTTATCATTAATACCATTAATGATATCATTAATACCATTAAGAGTGAAAAATTCATGAGACTTGTAATCAAAATCTAGTCTATACTCCAACATGACCCTAAGATTTCTCACCACCTTTACTCCTGGAAATAAAATACTTTTTCCCAAGAATTTGTGAAGACCACAAGGGAAATAGATATCAACTTTTCAATGCAGACCATAAAGATAGTGCACTGTATTCTGTTTCAAGTGTCGTATGATTCCACTGTTGATGGCTATTTTTATATTTTTTTAGATAAATAAAGCTTCTTGTGAAAATGTCCTGGCTATCATTTCACTTGTTATTAATGGGGTCATAGAAGGTGAGTCTATTTTTCTTTGTAAGTGCTTTGAAATCAAAAGTCATGACAGAATGTGCATTAATTAAAAACTGTTTCATATTATTTATATTACTTAACACAAAGCATACATAAATATCGCATTATGCAAAATATCTTTATTAATTCAGTTCACTTTGTCAAGCCAATTGGAAGTAGTACTATTTCCACCTTTTGTCCAATGCCAATTTGGTATATGTAATCTGTTATATGTAATAGTGTAATTTGATTGTCACAACATATTCTTCTTAAGGAAGAACATATTCTTCTTAAGGAAAAGAGAGAAAATTATCATGGGATTAGAATGTTTATAATATTTGATAATGCCATTAAATTAAATTCAATGTGAGGGATGCATTTATATGATCTCAACGATCCATTAATCAAATGTTATACAGAACATGTAGGTTAGTGATGGTAAAATCTTTAGCATCACAGCTGAGCAGTCTGATGTTCCTGTACTGTTTAGTACTGCTTAAATTATTAGAAAGTATAGTTTAGTCCCATAATTCCAGTCACAGTGAATGGTAACAGATGTACAAGTTGAGGTAGCCACTGCTAGCATGGTGGAATATTTAAAATCTATATCTTCCTACATTGGCTTTTAACAATACAGAATGTAAATTAACACCTGAGTTTGAATGAATTGTTTGAATCTAGGATTACAGGTTAATTGCTTCCATTAAATAAAATTACAGTCTATTAAACACAGCTTGGGTTGCAACTGCAGTTCAGTAGCATTAGCCATTGACTTTAGGCTACTTTAACATTTTAGAAAATAATTTTTTTCTAATTCTGCAGATTATAAACAAGCTAAAGTGTATGGCTAAAGCTACTGACCTGCAGCTTCAATCAGATGTTCAGCTAATGTTCATTAGCTTTACTATAGCTTTACTTACCTGTAAGAATGGCTTATAAGGATGACTTACAACCACAATCAGGAATGGAATTTCAATCATTAAGCAAGATGTCACGTGAATACACCATTTAGTGACCACAATCCTGGCATTGCTAGCTGTCATTAACCAAGAATCATGGGTTGTTAAAAGGACTCTCAAAGAAGGCCTGTGGGATGTTGCAGGGGAGTGGGGGAGGCCCTGGAAGGCCTGGCACACACTGCATGTAAGTGTGGTGCTGTAGGGTTCTGCAATGAAGTACAAAGCCACAACTGCTCCACCCACCTCAGCAGCACTTAATGACTAAAGTAAGTCACCTGCCTATTTCCACCCCAATGTATGCCCTTTGGACAGCCCTGCACTCATCAATGGCAGCCCTAGGTCTGGGTCTGAAGTAGAGACCTGGGGCCTTCAGCAAAATGAGAGCTTTGTGCAATGATGCTAGCATGGCACCATTTGAGACCTGAGGGCTGCTGCATTGAGAGGTGATCAACTGTCATTCACTCCATTTCCTGCCAACCTAATAGTTCAAAAGTGTGCAATCGCAAATAAATAAACAGATACCACTTTGGTGGTCACAGTAACAGGAACATGAAAGGAACTCCCAATTGAACGTCCCCTGAGCAACAGTGATGTCACTGGCTAATTCTTTCCATCCAGAAGTGCCTTGGTGCATCCGACACGAACGCAAGGGAGCGTGGCTGGCTGTGGGCTTAAGGCACCGTTTCTCAGTTGCAGTGGCAGCACTGGAGCTAAAGTAAAATCCTGGGACTGATGGTAGCTGGCTGAAACTGCTGAAGGCTCCCTACTGCTTCAACTTCAGCCACAGCCCTGGTGCTGCTGCTGAAGAGTGCCACTGTGCAGGGCAGCCAAAAGGGCATAGATGGGAGGGAATAGGTAGGAGTCGTAGTGCCTAGTAGACATAAGTGAGGGTGGGCTACTAAGCACCCTATTTTGATCACATGGCCACAGGGTGCTATAGTGGCCATAACTTTGAGCATGGGTCATAAAGTCTATTTTTTCAACACTGTAATTTTGAGTGAGTGGTGAATGAATAATTGTAAATCAAGGGCTACTTTTACATTATTTTTAAAGGCAGTTTATAATAAAATGAAAATCAAATTCTGTATTATTGGTAACGAGCAAGATCCTTGAAAAAATGTCGATTAATTTTTATAAAGAGAAATCATTTTGGCAGACATACAAACAGATTCTCTCCCATGAAGGTATTTGTACTGCATCAACCCCTTTTGTGCTCTTGGGAGATGTTTTGGATTGCCTTCCTTTGGATCAGTGTGACAGAATTTTCACCTTTGTGGAAAAAAATGTTACCACGTGGAAATCGGTAAGTATAATGGAATTTGTTAAGTTTTAAAAGTTCATTTTTGTAATAGATTAATAGGTGAATAATTTGGTTAGCATGCAAGAATTATGTAAAACGAACAGATATGTTGTTTTGAATAATACAAATTGATCACTCTGTATTAAATGATTAAGTATTTAATTGTGTCATTTGTCAATTGCAGGAAAGAAGTGCAAATACTTAAGAACAAAGCATTATTGAGCACTGGGTGGGATTCTGAAAAAAAATGAGATAAAAGTTGGGAACATTCATAAACTTTATTAAGTCCACTGGCCAGAGATTACTTGTGACTGCACTGGAATCACAGCTTTAATACCATTCCTAAATCCAACATTTTTTGGATGTTTAACCCAAAATGGTTGTTTAGAGTGACTTTCATTAGTACTGTTTATTTTACTAGCAAATAACTTAGAGAAGTTCTTAGACAGTTGTAAGTGGACTATGATGATCTTTCAAAATTGTGGTTAAAAATATAACAAGATTTTTTTGGTTCATGGATTAAAACATACTTGTAACTCACTGTGGTACTTTATCAACCTTTTTTAGCTTAGTATAAAGTATTCAATTTAGTATTTAAAACCACAAATGATTTTTCAAAGATACCAAAGGACTATCTCCCCAAAATAAAACTGCTGGGAGGGTGAATTAGATATAAGTTTTACAAAGTGCTCTTGTCTGCAGTTTAGTTATTCCTACTGGTAAAATACCTTACTCAGGAAGAAGAAACTTCCTTGGAAGAAAAGAATTTGCCTTTGCATTTCTGGGGAGGTTGAATCAAAAGAACATGTCCTTCTAAATTCTGTTTTCCGAAGCACATTGTCTCATCCTGATATTATGATGTGTTATAATCTGCTTTTTTGTTAGCCAGTTCATCTCCACAAATATGCAGACACAGAGACATAAAGAAAACCAAATTTTGCATAATAGTTTGTTAGATTAAAAAAGAAAAATGCATAGTTGGCATAAGACTATTTTTAAGTCTTTTTAACTGTGTTGGAATACATTTGTTCTGTGAGGTTAGGGTTGGGCAATACCATTGATATGTAAGTATGTGATTTGGTGATTGACCAAAAGAACATTATTTGATTTGCTGTATTTCAACCATTGTTTTGAGCTAATAATTTTTTGCCCACGATGCACAACATTGGTATAACCTCAGTGTGATGCATGTCAACTCCTGTTCTGTCTGTATTTCATTAAAAAATTATCAATAAAAATAAATTGATTGATTCTTATTTAGAAAAATCTCAATGCATTTTATTTTTATTCTGCTTTGAAATTACAGTTTGATTTGAAACTGAATGTTTAGATATATTTTGTTCTGTGGTTTTGTGTGAAGTGTTTCTGCTGCACTGTAACTACAAAGGCCTATTGTAAATATTTAATAAATATGAACATATTCTTCCCTGTTTGCTTGAAATATATATTTTATAGCACGAGAGACTATTTATAATCCTACTCCGATTATCTTTCTAATGTAATTAACTGCATTCTGTTTTTTAAATATCAACTAATTATGTTGAATTATATGTTATTTTTAGAACACGTTTTACTCTGCGGGAAAGAATTATTTACTGAGAATGTGCAATGGTGAGTAGCCTTTTTTCTAGCATTGCCAATGAAGATACAGCCTTCAGTGTAATTTTCAATGCTGCGTGTTAAAACTCTACTAATGTCCTACTGTTGTTGATCAAGATCTGACATTATAATTCTGTAATGAAACATTACATGTAGTCCTCGATTTATAACAGTTCGTTTAGTGATCATTCAAAGTTACAATGTCACTGAAAAGTGATTTATGACCATTTTTCACATTTACAACCATTGCATTATCCCCATGGTGACGTGATCAAAATTCAGATGTTTGGCAACTGACTCATATTTATGATGGTTGTAATGTTCCAGGGTAATGTCCTTGGGTGTCCTCCTGGATTCACGGCTATCTTTAGAAGATCATTTGATGGCTGTGGCCAGGGGTGCCTTTTATCAGGTTCGCCTGATCCGCCAGTTGCGTCCCTTTCTGGATCGGGACGCTTTGCGCATGGTCACTCATGCCCTAGTCACCTCCCGTATGGATTACTGTAATGCTCCCTACATGGGGCTCCCCTTGAAAAGCACCCGGAGGCTCCAACTGGTCCAGAATGTAACCACGCGGGTGATTATGGGCGCAGCTTGTTGCGCCCATGTAACACCTCTCCTACGCGAGCTGCACTGGCTCCCGGTGGTCTTCCGGGTGTGATTCAAGGTGTTAGTCACCAAGCGCTCCATGGCTTAGGACCTGGGTACCTACAAGACCGTCTTTTGCCACCAGTAGCCTCCCACCGACCAATTCTCACAGGGAGGGACTACTCAGTACCATCAGTCAAATTAGGCCGACTGGCAACTCCCAGGGGGAGGGCCTTCTCTGTGAGGGCTCCAACCCTTTGGAATGAACTGCCCCCTGAGATACGAAATATCCCTGATCTCCGTGCTTTCCGCCATGCCCTCAAAACCCTGATGTTCCAACAGGCGGGGCTAAACATATGAACATGTGAATGTTTTTAAAATGTTATCTAATTTTAGGTTCTATTTAATTGGGCCAAACTATGTTATAATAATAATTTTAATTAGCAATTTTATGATGTTTGTGTATCTATATTTTTCTTGACTGTACACCGCCTTGAGTCCTATGGGAGAAAGGCGGTATAGAAATATAATAATAAATAAAATAAAATAAATAAATAATGTGATCACCTTTTGCAACCTTCTGACAAGCAAAGTCAATGGGGAAGCCAGATTCACTTAATAACTGTGTTACTAACTTAACAACTGCAGTGATTCACTTAACAAATGTGACAAGAAAGATTGTAAAATGCGGCAAAACTCACTTAACATATTTATCACTTAGCAACATAAATTGTCGTAAGTTGAGGACTGTCTGTATTGGTTTATTTAGCACTTTTTACTTGACATAACTGCATTTTTATTTGAACTATAATATATCTATCTGAAAAGGATATAGAACTGTGTACATATGCAATTTAGTAACACCATCATCTTTAGAATATTTACTCAAAGATTACTCCAGATAGTTCAGTTCTTTCCATGTGGAAAATAAATAAAAAATCCGGATATTAAAGAGAATGCATGATTGTATTAGTGGAAAATATGTACTGCTGTCTGTTTGATACCAGAGTCTATCCCTGTAACATTTTTAAAATGTTGGAAACTTAAATACATTTTTCTTTGATATCATTAAGATCTTTTAAGAAGACTGTCAAAATCACAAAATACAGTATTTTGTGGAAGAATTCAGCTCTTCTTAGCCAGGTTATTTCCTCTTTCAGAAAAGTCAGGTAAGTTTCTTTTTTAAATATTTTTTAAAATATTTTTTAAGCATGAACAGCAATACAATGAACAGATTAACCCATCACATGTATTTCAAACCCAGTTTGGTCCTAATTTTACAATATCATTTTATGTCTGTAATTTGCCATATACAGGACGTTTTTTTCCAAATTTTCTTAAATACCATTGTCTGCATTTTTAAAAATTGAAATATTGTATGGTTATTTATAAACTGCTCAGAAAACTGATATTTGCAAATATCATTTCAGATTATTTTGCCTGATCAAATTTTTCCCCCTACAGGGCTTAACTTGCAAAGTCAATTTAATTTGGAAAATATCACAGTTTTTAATACCAGTGAGCAAGACAGCACCCTTGGACAGAAGGTTTTTTTTTATTATTATTATTCTCTGTTATCCACACAATGTGAAAAACTTGGAAAGTGTAGATATAATATGCAGGCTATAATTCTCTCAAAAGAAGGACCATGAAGTGATTTTATACATAAAGTATCACGGCAGTCTATTATTTAATTTATATTGCACCAAAATCATGAATTATAATAGTTGCTTAAGGAACAAATTTTGGTGGAGATGCAGAAATGGAAAAAAAACTTTCCAATTTGTGAAATCAATTTCAGTGTTCCTTTTAAAAATACTCATGGTCTGTTCTGTTTGAGCGACCACTGAAGTCTTTCAGCAGATTACTGATTATTTACATTTCCAATTTTAAATAAGTATCATGATATAATTTGCTTCTTCATCTATTAGTAATTGCCCAAAATGTTAGTGTTTTGTTTTGAATGAATAGAAGTTTTCTACTCATGTAGATGGAATGGAAATTAATGTTAAATTAATTCTGTGACTTTAGCATGCAGAGGAGAGAGAGGAAGGAATGGAAGTGGAAGAAGGTGAAATGGGAGATGATGAAGCTCCTACAAGTTGGTAAGGAGAGATAAATTTAAATTTCCAGTTGTAAAATCTATTGGAATTATATCTGTTAAAAAGATTGCCTATAACTTTTACATTTGCTGTAGATTACTATTTTTATGAAAGTCTAGTAAAATCTTATTAAATAGGGGAAATTATTGGTCATAGCCGTGTTTATTGAGAACCAAAGATGTTTATTGATTGAACAAGTTCTCATTTCTGTGTTTATGTAATATCAATAGGACAACAAATGTATGTATATATGTATTTAAATAATAAATGTACCAAATTTATTTTCAATAATAGCCAGAGATATTTATGAATGAATATATTGTAAATATTTTTTTTGTCAGTTCCATTCCAATAGATTATAATCTGTACAGAAAATTTTGGTCACTTCAAGATTATTTCAGAAATCCTGTGCAGTGCTATGAAAAGGTCTCATGGAAAATATTTCTTAAGGTATTGTGCTTATTATATTTCATTTCTATTTGTGGGTATATAAATACGTATTACTTATGAAATTCCAAGCAAAAGAATTATTGTTATTTTAAGCCACTTTTTTATAACTCAGAAGGTTGAACATATCCAGTACTCCTGCCCCCTATTTTCCCTACAACAACCATTTGATGTGAGTTGGGCTATAAGAAAGGAATTGGCCCAAAGTCACCCAACAGCTTTCATGCCTTAATACAGTGCCTATTAATACACATTTTAGAATGCATTGAAGGAATATTAATTAAGAGTTGTAGACAATGCAGTGCAAATGACAATTTGAGGGGATTTTATTTGTAATGGCTCTCTAGCTTTCTTTTACTGGAAGCCATTTGTTAATGTACTTGTATATAAAATGCATTCTTGGGCAGTGGGTAATGGAAATAAAAGAGAGTAGACCAGCATCGTTTGCATCTCATCAAATCTCACTTCTGTTCTGAGGCTATAATTTGATTGTTGCATTTTATGTGATCTATTTTAAAAGTACTCAGAAGAAGTATTAACTGTCTTTGAGAGCTACAAGTTGGATGACACTCAGGCATCAAGAAAAAAATTAGAAGAGCTGAAAACTGGAGGAGAGCATGTTTATTTTGCAAAATTTCTTACAAGTGAAAAGGTATATTTTTCGTAAAACTAGATTTTACTGCAAGAGGAATTTTGTCTTAATCGTTACCACTGTATTAGTTCTTCAGTTGGCAGAAAATATTGATGGATTATTATCTGATTGTCTTGTCACTGAACTCCCTTCACCTATCAGGATTTTGTTATTTCTCTTGGCTAGTAGTCTCTCTGGGTTTCTCAGGAAATGCTGAAGGAAAAGAGCAGACATTTGGAACTCTGGGCTTTTCTGCTTGCACAGAGTAGTTGGGCGAAAGATAAATTACTGGAGTTGTAGAACCCAAAGGTACTTTTTTCAAGAGACAACTGGACTTTCTGGTTTTTCTTTAAAGACATTTCGCTTCTCATCCAAGAAGCTTCTTCAGCTCTGACTGGATGGTAATAAATGGAAGGATTTCTTCCATTTTCCTTCCATTTCCCATCACTCAGTCAGAGCTGAAGAAGCTTCTTGGATGAGAAGCGGAACGTCTTCAAAGAAAAACCAAAAAGTCCAGTTGTCTCTTGAAAAAAGTACCTTTGGGACAACCATGACCTGGATGACAGAGAATATCCAGAGACATTTGGTGTAGAACTTATTATTTCTAAACTAGCAATGAAGAATAAAAATGCTGAAGGAAAGTGCAGGTAGTCTTCAGTTAACAGTCATGGGGCAGGAATTTCTGTTGCTTAACAATGTGATAGTCAAGCACAACATCATATGATTGTGCCGCTTAGAAACAACAGTTCAATACTTAATAGTTGTCATCATTAAGCAAATCCCACAACATTTAAGTGCAACATTGCATGGTCATCATTTGCAACCTGCAGGTTTCCCATTGACTTTGCTTGTGGGAATCTGAAAGGAAAGCTGGCAATTGAAAGAATGGCAATCATGAGACTGGGATGTTGCAATTGTGAGCTGAGTGTGGATCGCAATCACATGAACGCAGGGATGCTGCAACAGCCACAGATATGAGGAGTGGTCAAAACTACCATTGTAGGTGTGAACTGTTGCTGAAGAAGTGATTGTTAAGAAAGGAACCCCTGTATTTTGATTGGATTTAATATTGCAAAGCAGAAGCCATCCTGGAAGGAAGCTGTAATTTTGGGTAAAGCATGAAAAAAAATTATTCAAAAACTACTTGACCCATTAGCTACAAGATTAGTACATGATTGGGATTAAGATTATTGATAACTGTGATGGCCAGGTGTGTCCCTGGAGTTTTGTGCCCCCCCCCCCCAGGTATTCAGCAATGTGTACTTAGCTAAGGCTCTTTCATTTCTCAGAAATAACGTAACTTTTTTTTTTTTTTTACAAATAAGATTAATAAAGTGAGCTTCTTAACACAAGTACAACTGTGGCCTTTAAGAATCAGTTAAAGAAATTTTTCACATTTGATTATTCTTTTAAAATCAAGATAGGAAAAGTTCATTTTTTAAAATCTAAGTTTCATACTTAAATTTAATATTTTATGTATGCACCCAGTGTACTGATTCCAAAAACCAGTACACTGCAGCAAACTTCTTGTGTGATTTCGTCCATTTTAATTGTACCCTGTTTCCCCCAAAATAAGACATCCCCTGATAATAAGCCCAATGGGTCTTTTGAACACATGGCGGTAAGGCCAAGCGCTTATTTCAGGGTTCAAAAAAATATAAGACAGGATCTTATTTTCAGGGAAACACGGTACTTATCCCATTAATTTCATTCTACTTACTTTTGTATTATTAAAAACAGAAAACTGAAGAATGTCTATGTGTTTATCTCTTTCTCTCTCTTTAATAGTTAATGGATTTACAGTTGAGTGACAGCAATTTTCGCCGCCATATCCTATTGCAGTATTTAATATTATTTCAGTATTTAAAGGGGCAGGTAAAGTTTAAAAGGTAAGCTGGTAAAGTCTTTTAAATACATTTAATTAAACTTGTTTACTTCTTTAATATATGTGATCCAACTCACTGCTATCATTGTCTGATTGTATAAATCTGCTTCTAAATACTATACATTGGAAAATATCCACTAATTACTGTATTTTAATTTTTTAGACTTTGCAATACTTCTTACTATGATTTGAAATTCATATTTGCACTGCTTTTATAGAAATCTGTATACATTTGACCCCTGGGCTGTCTCCTTATTCTATTCTCTGAATGTGATCTTGCTTATTCAGGTCATTGATGTTCTTGGTGTGGACACAGAAATAAGAAGTAAATTAATGCAGTAAATTAAAAGTGTAACTGAATACAAGTGAGAGATAACTAGTTGTAAAAAGAAAACATAACCTTCCCTGCAGTTCTGCTTTCTGCCACAGTCCCAGTTTCTCACGCAACCCCTTGGGAAAGTAAATTGCCCATCCCTGGTATCCTGCCTTGAGCAGGGGCAGGTTGGACTAGAAGACCTCCAAAGTCCCTTCCAACCCTAGGAGTCCAACAAATCTAACAGTTAAATTACTGTAATAAAAGTTCTGGTGCTGGAAAAAGATTGGAATGAACAAGCCTCATATAGAATGGCATTTTAAAGTAAGGATTATTTATTTTGCTTTAAGAACCAGGAAAATGTGAAAAAGAGCATACATCTTCAGCCTAAAATTAAATATTTAAATATGTTCCATTAAAACCAGTGAGGTTAGTATTTTCTTAGTTTTGGTTGCATCAAGCATCATATTTTTTGTCTTTCAGAGAGAAACAGAAGCTACTGGTATACAATCATTTAAAAAAAAAAAATTAATTATCAGTAGACTTAGCAAAATGCCTCCTACAGATAAGACTTCAGTCCTGTATCAATAGCAGGAAGGCAGCAAATTTCATTGATTCATCCCTCATCCACACCTCTTAAAATTACATAGAGTGTTGCTTGGCTGTGATGCAGTAAAGTAATTAGTGAAATTTCTTGCTAATTCCCTCATGAGAGTATTTGTATGGAACTCTGCTCAATTGAGGCTATTGCTGCTGCTACTTAAGAAAAATCTGGATCAAATGCACTCTGCATGTTTTGACTTATATGTGTCTTATTTCCTAGTTCAAACTTTATTCTGACTGATGAACAGTCCCTGTGGATTGAAGCTACCACAAAACAAGTTTACCAGGTCAGATTAATTAATCATCTTGTGCATCTAATTTTACAATAGTGCTTTTAGGAATAAATTTTTCATACATTTTATTTTGAATACATTCCATATTATATTCTAGCTTTATTGCTGAGCATCACATTTTTAGCTGCTCTGCTGCAACGTTTGATTTTTGTGGCTTTTCTAATTACAGCTTCTATCAGAAAACCCACCTGATGGAAAAAGGTTCTCCAAAATGGTAGAGGTAAGTGCCTTGTTCAAAATTTCAATTAAATTTAGGTTTTTCTTTCTTCTGTCCAATTATGTTCAATTCTCAGAGACTGCCTAGACAAGTCCCTACAGTTTTCTTGGCATTGGTTTTTCAGAAGTGATTTGCCATTGCCTCTTTCCTAGGAGAGAGAGAAAGTCTAGTCCAGCATCACCCAGATGGCTTTGTGCCCAAGATGGGATTAGAACTCATGGTTTCCAGTTTCTAACCTGAAGCCTTAGCTGCTACACCAGACTGGCTGTCAGACTTTAGATAAGCACCATAAATTGTAATAATTCCTCTAAAGTAAATCTGGTCTATTTGGCACCAGGTCTCCTACTCACAGTAACCATTTAAAAATAAATTCATGCTTTTGAGATCCCTGAATTCAGTTCTCCCACTGGGTTCTTTTTTAATTCTGAATTTTTAAAATATTTTTATATATTTAATGATTTTAACATTTATTCTACATTTAGTGGAGCACTTCTACTGTACAGCAAGATAGAAAAGCTACATTTTTTGCTAACTCTCATTTTCTGCCTCTAAAAATCCCTTTTTCTTACTGATATTACTTTTGTTTTTACAGCATATATTAAACACAGAAGAAAATTGGAATTCATGGAAAAATGAGGGCTGTCCAAGCTTTGTGAAAGAAAGGTTGTGTATATAAACATTTCTTTTTAATCAACATTGCAGGTAGTTTTTGAGTTATGACCATTCGTTTGGTATTATTCTAAGCTATGATAGTGCTGAAGGACACAGATACAAAATTTAAAAACAGTATAAAAACCTAATTAAATAAATTTGGCCTGGAATAGATTAAAACACCCCTAAAGTTTTAGACAAATTTAAAATTTACAATTAAAAAGGGAGGTTAGGCCAGGCCAGCCTGTTGGAATAAAAAGGTCTTGAGGGCACGGCGGAAGGTGCATAAATCCGGGATCCTCCGTATCTCGGGCGGGGAGCTAATTCCAGATAGCAGGTGCCCCCACAGAGAAGGCTCTTCCCCTGGGGGCCGCCAGTCGACACTGTTTGGCCGACCGCACCCTGAGGAGCCTCTCTCTATGAGAGCGTACTGGCCGGTGAGAGGCTACTGGTGGCAGCAGGCGGTCCCGTAAGTACCTGGGTCCTAAGCCATGGAGCGCTCTAAAGGTGATAACCAAAACCTTGAAGTGCACCCGGAAGACCACCGGGAGCCAGTGCAGCTCGCGCAGGAGAGGTGTTACATGGGAACGCCACGTCGCTCCCATACCCACCCGCGCGGCCGCACTCTGCACCAGTTGGAGCATCTGTGTGCTCCTCAAGGGGAGCCCCATGTAGAGAGCATTACAGTAGTCCAGGTGGGAAGTGACGGCATGATTGACCATGCGTAAGGAGTCCCTATCCAGAAAGGGACGCAACTGGCGGATCAGGCGAACCTGATAAAAAGTCCTTCCAGCCACAGCCGTCAAATGCTCTTTTAAAGACAGCCGTGAATCCAGGAGGACACCCAAGTTGCGAGCCCTCTCCGTGTGGGCCAACGACTCGCCCCCAATAGTCAGTGATGGCACAGCTGACTATATCAGGACACCGGAAACCACAGCCACTCAGTCTTGGATGGGTTGAGCCTGAGACTGTTTCTCCCCATCCAGTTCCGCATGGCCTCCAGGCACCGGGACATCACTTCAAGGGCATCGTTGGGGTGGTCTGGGGTGGAGATGTACAGCTGAGTGTCATCAGCGTACTGATGGTACTTCACCCCGAAACCATGGATGATCTCACCCAGTGGCTTCACATAAATGTTGAACAGAAGGGGCGAGAGGACCGACCCCTGTGGCATCCCACATATAAGGCGCCTTGGGGTCGACCTCTGCCCCCCTGCCAACACAAACTGCGACCGGTCGGAGAGAAAGGAGGAGAACTACCGCAGCACGGTGCCCCCCACCCCCAACTCTTCCAACCGGTGCAGCATGATACCATGGTCAATGGTATCAAAAGCCGCTGAGAGATCTAATAGGACCAGGACCAGGGCCTACAGTAGGCTTCCAAGGGCCTCCTCCATCCATGAATCACCCCGTTCCGCTTAATGACCTGCAGACTCCATCACAGTCATATCTCGAGGACCACCTGTATAAACCCTACACTTACAGTAGTTCTTAACTCCAATATCTTGTTTTATAGACAGAGTGATTCCAAGCCAGTGAGACCTTTTGTGCGAAAGAGACCAGCTCCTGAAGATTTCTTAGGGAAAGGACCTAACAAAAAAATTCTAATGGGAAAGTATGTTCAGTCCTTTATTAATTTATTTCTACTTTTGTAGTGTAAATTAAATGATGCAAAGTGACATTGCAAGGTTGGGAATACTGTTTAAAATAAATTGTACCTGTTTTTGACTACTTTTAATGATAATCGGGATAGAAATGTACAAATAAAAATAAATCTCACACAGATTTATTTTTACTTTATCAATATTAGAATTGCTTGTTAAATCATATCTTATTTTAGAAACATGAGAGCATTGAAATAAAAACTTGTTTATGTTAAGCTGGTTGTTATATAGAAAGTTTTGAATAACAGTATAGTTATACGTTGATTATGCTAATGTTAATGGTATAAAATCTCTCCTATCTGCACACAAACACATACATAGGCCTATGCCTTTTGTTGAAGAGTAGTTGTCTTCAGAAATAATTGGCATATGAATCACAAAATATAAGAAATAGTAATATGCTATGTGTTTTGGTTTATAGCGAAGAATTAACTCGCCTCTGGAATTTATGCCCTGATAACATGGAAGCATGTAAATCTGAGAATCGGTGAGTAGTTGTAGTTCTTGTAACACTGGTGCTTCCTAAACTAATATTCTAGGGACATTAATGCTACAGATCTCTGGGATTGGCAGATGATTTTGCTAATCATGTTACAGCTCCTCAAAACTGATTTGTAAATTGGGGATCCTGCTAAAAAAATAGATATGCCCTTGTATCACAATCAAAGGAAACAGGAAATCCCCAAACATCACTTATGTTCTTTTTGTTTATTTGTTTATTTTGTACTTTTCTCCTCTTTTTATTGGGTGTGGCACTTGAATGGCACTTGGATAACTATCAGGATGGGATAATTGAATTTTTTCTCCCTTCCCCATGGATGAAATACTGCATATTATGTGAAGGATATTCTCTTTTAATCTTTTGGATTCTGTCAAGACCTAGTCATATGTAATTGATTCGAGTTCCCATCTATATTTTTCATGGTGGTTGGGTTATTTATACATCAACAAAGGTTGCTTCTTGGGGAAAAGTATGTAATACAATGCAAGACGTAGCATATTTATTTATATCTTGGCTTTATTGTACTTATAAATAACTCAAGGTGGTAAGCATAATCAATACTCCTTCCTGCTCCTAATTTCCCCAAAACAATCCTGTGGGACCTGTTAAGGAAGTCATGATTTCCTGGTTTGTAGCCTGGTACTTATGTGAAAATAGATAAATGCTAATTCAATCTATCAATAGGGTTTTGGTTTTTTTGCAACCTTTATATCAAGTTTCATAATTTGCTAGATTAAAGGTAGGGTATCTCTAGCCCACAGATTCTTATGCAAGGCATTTGCACATTTTTTTCAAATTCCTTCTGTGTAATTTGAATTGTTTTTGTTAGTGTCCGCATTTGATATACCTGCATTTAGCATTACACTTTAGCTGGCCTGTAACTTTCTCTTTTAAGAAAAGGTAGAGGAAGGCCCAAGCCCAGCAAGGATTAGATGCCAATCGCAGCTGGCAGGAAGTCTATGTAGATGAGGCAGGAAGTGATTGTTCATTATTTTCTTGCATGCATTGCCTTTCTTTGTCTAAGAAGAGCCAAAGAGACATTTCCCCTCTGATCTCCTGACAGAGAAAACAGTGTTGGACATAGCTTCTGTCCAGTAACGGGGCTACCTGGAAATTGGATTGGTTCTCCAACTTGCACTAATTTTACTCTAATGTAATTAATTCTGCTATCTTTGATAATTTAATCTGAATGAAATGTTTTTTCCCAAATGAATGTATGTGCCTTATGATAGGCTACATAGTGTAAGAGGAATAATCTCAATATTGAATTGCTTTATTGATTTGAACTTATTGAATTGCTCATGCAAAGGATTTCTCACTCTAAATATAAAGAAGTTGAGGCAGAAAAATTAACAGTTTAATTGCTATTTTAGAGAGAAGGTAATAGTTTTAATAAACACTTCTTCCTTCCAAATAAAGCACTTACTTTGCCTTTATTTTCTAGAGAATATATGCCAACATTGGAAGAGTTTTTTGAAGAAGCTATAGAACAGGCAGATCCTGAAAACATGGTTGATAAAGAATTTAAGTATGTTCCACAAATCATTTTTTTCATAATTCTGCTTGTTCAGGCATATATTCAAAACATACAGGTAGTCCTTGTCTTACAACACTTCATTTAGTGACCATTTGAAGTTACAATGGCACTGAAAAAACTGACTTATGACTGTTTTTCACAGGGTCATTGCAGCATCACCGTGGTCATGTGATCAAAATTCAGATGCTTGGCAACTGACTCTTATTTATGTCTTGGGGTCACCTTTTACAACATTCTGACAAACGAAGTCAATAGGGAAGCCAGATTCACTTAGTAACCGTGTTACTAACTTAACAACTGCTATGATTCACTTACGAAAGATCGGGAAAGTTCATTTAACAAATGTTTCACTTAGCAACAGATATTTTGGGCTTAATTGTGGTCTAAGACAAGGACTACCTGTATTTTGATGTAATAAAATATTTTTTTTCTATTTATCAAATAATCTAATTCTGATTTTGTAACATAGGGTTGTGAATAATTCTAACTATGGCTGGAGAGCATTAAGACTATTAGCAAGAAGAAGTCCTCACTTTTTTCAACCAACCAATCAACAGTTTAAAAGTTTACCGGAATATCTTGAAAATATGGTCATCAAATTAGCTAAAGAATTACCTGTAAGTAATATTGTCTAATGCATATACTTATTTTGAAGATTCTATGCATACAGTGAAGGTGGTGGTGTAATTTTAAAAATTAATATATAAAAATATAAAAATAGCTATGATGCCTGTAAAAAAAATTTCTATTTTTATTTTTTGTGTATGCTTTTAAAGTAGAAGCAAAACAGTTCTATAAACTTTCTAAATAGAGCGTGTTGAGCCGACATAGTACCTCTCTTTTTGTTACTGAAGTATTTAATTTCCTAACATGAATTGTTGCTGTAAATCTATCCACTCAGAAGTAAATTCCACTGAATTCAGTGGCTTAACTTCCAGATTCGGATAGATTCCACTCTCATTCTGTAATTAATCATATAAACATTCATAGTAGATTTAATAAATTCAGAATAGTTTAGTGACCATGATTAAGAAAGTCAACAAAGCATATTCTATTTAAGTTCTGCTATCTGTTTCAACTTAACATTGCTCAACTTTGCTGTTCATCTGATGCATGAAATATATATTTTAACATACTAGCTATCTTAGAAGAACACAAGAGGAAAATTTATATTACGAGAAAGACTACATGAAGGCTTCTGCATTTTGATGTGACTTAGTACTCTAGAAAATGAAATATTTTAGGACAGGGGTCTTCAACATCTGGGCTGCAGACTGGTACTGGTCCATGGCCTATTGGGAATTAGACTGGGCAAGCAGTGGGCGAGCGAGCAAAACTTCAGCTGTGCATGCGTGGGATCTAGGTTGCGCAGGAAGCCATTGCCTCCTCAGTCCGTGGAAAAATTGTCTTCCATGAAACCAGTCTCTGGTGTTAGAAAGGTTGAGGACCACTGCTTTAGGAAGTTCCTTTACCCTTTACTTTTTCTCCTTTACTTCATCCCCTCCCCCCAAATCTATCCTATTCCAAATGATATAAATGACCAAAATTTAGTGCTGGATATCTCTTTTCATCAACTATTCATCTGACACTTAAAGAAGTAACAAGAATATTGGGACCATATTTTGTGATAAGGTTTTTTGCCTACAATTTCATTAATTTTCCATACAATTGTCAAGTTTTGTTTGTGAATAGAGAGCTCTGCAGAAGAGTACAAAATAAGTAGTTTTATTTATCTTTTTCCTTAGATAATGGTGATAATCTTTTAAGATTATATATTGTACTTCACTGAAAGTTTGCCCTTCCTCCCCCATTTCTTGTTTTTTCATGAAAAGATCATTTGGACATTCACTTGTCCAAAGTGAATGTATAAAGTATAAAGGGGAAACGGGGGGTGGGGAGGGAATGGGAAATGTTTCCAAATGTTTTCAGAACTTCCTTTCACCATGCAACATTTTTTTGACTAAACACATAACCAGGGTGGATTTGATTTAAATCGAGCTGATTTAAATCACAATTTAAATCATGATTTAAATCACTAGTAAAAAGGCTTGATTTAAATCAACTCAATTTAAATCATAATTTTTAAAGAGCAACTGTCATCTCTGTTACTCCTTTGACCCACTGTTGACTCACCGATAGTCCCAGTGTTGCAGAATATAGTCTCATGCTACATAACTAAGCTCCATTTCATGCTGAATAAACGAAATTATTTATGTATCTTAAATAGAAAACTATCTTACGATAGATTTTTACCCCAAAAGTTTTTTATTAAAATAAATTCGATAAAAATCAAAAAAATCCGATTTAAATTAAAAAAAACTGTTTTTTTTGATTTTTTTAAAAAAATCATTGATTTTTATCCACCCTGCACATAACAATGATATTCAATTCTCTCATTATAGCCTCCTTCTGAAGAAATTAAAACAGGCGAGGATGAAGATGAGGAAGATAATGATGCTTTATTAAAAGAAAACAATGAAAGTAAGGCTGGATTCTTGGGCTTCTCACTGTTTCCTTTGACATCCATTGAAAAACAAAAAGGAGTGTGTGAACAGAACATTCTCCCCAAGTTCCTATTTATGCTCTGAATTGCAATTCAAAATAAAGAGTCCCACATTTATGTATCTTAGAAGCAGAAAAGATATGTGCTGTGCTGCATCTTCATAGCTTCTTTTGAGGATGACCTCTGGGATTGACATTTCATCCAGCAATTACTGTTGGATAACACATGGCACATTCTCAAATATTCATAATGCTTTCTTCTTTGAAACGCTTTTCAGATTTAATATAGAGGTAGTCCTCAACTTATGACCACAGATGGAACTGGAACCTCCATCACTAAGCGATGCAGTCATTTAGTTGTTTGATTTTGCTGCTGCTGTTGAGTGAATCGCAGGATCATTAAGCAAAAAATGGTTGACCCCATTGGTTTTGCTTGTTGAAAGCCCCCTGGAAAGTCACAAATGGCTATCCCATGACTCTAGGATGCTGCAACCATCATAAATATATGCCAGCTGCCAACACCTGAATTTTGATAATGTGACTGTAGGGAAGTTATGATGGTCAGAAGTATGAGGGCTGGTCTTAACTAATTTTTTCAGCATGGTTGTAATTTCAAATGATTGTTAAACAAATGTCGAGGACTACCTGTAACTTTTTTTATTACTTTTTTAAAATGGCATTCCTTTAAGAGCAGTTGCATCATCTTTGAAAATTAATTTCCATTTTAAGGATTCAGTAATAAAATAAAATGTTATGGTTCATCATGACATAGAGCAAATATCATAGGAACACCTTCAACCTTTCAATTTCTTTCTCCTTCCCAATCTGAGAAACGGGTACCTGTTATCTTTATGTTGTTTTTAAGCCATGTATTCCTACTGCTGAAATTGATTTGCATGAGTCCTTCCTTCCCTGTTTCTCATGTGATTATTTTATATTCAATTTATGTTCAGTTTTTAGTGAGTGTATAAATGTAATTAATGTTTCATTATTCACATTTTCTTCAGTAGCTTAGCTGCACATTTGCTCTATTGCGCTTTTAAATTTTGGCACTCTATATTTTCTTATTACTAATTTGAATAGCCATATTCTCTAGCTTAGTCCAACTGAAATTTTTCTCCTCTGCATCTCAGTCCCTCTTACTTTTGAATAGACCTGAGTTAATTAGGTTTGGTTTTCAGTACGGTCCCTTATCAGTAACATCTATTTTAGAAATGACTTCTCTGTCTACTGTTCAATTTTATTTATTAGTTATTTCTAAAATGAATTATAAATGAATGCATTCAGTCCTAAGCAAGCCAAGGGCCAATTCCCCACTACCCTTTTTGTCTCTCTTTTTGTTGTTGAAATATCTTAATACATTATATATTTGAGGAAAACATCTTCAGTGTTCATATAGATAACTTATTTTCAAATTACTGACAATGTGTTTGCTAAAAATTGGATACATTATTTTTTGTATTATCTTGAAATATAGTTTAGCAGTATTAGTTAATTAATTTAATTAATTAATTTAATTAATACTGTGAGAGAGCTGGGCAGTTCCTAAATGTAATAAATAAAAATAAACTAATTGTTAATATCTTTGTTTTCGTGCAGTAGATTTAAGAGTCAGATATTTCTTAAGCATGTTTTCAGAAAACATTTTATATGCATTAGAATGTACCCTATTTTTCGGGTCTATAAGATGTGCTTCCCCCCCCCCCCCAGAAAAGTGGATAGAAATGTCTGTGCGTCTTACAGAGCGAATGTTGCCGAAGCCCCACCCACCCGCCGGTCTCCACCCTTTGGCTTCTGCCTCCCAGCAGTTTGCCTCTTGCAGCAAACAGCAAACAGCCTGGTCAACTTCAGCACAGCCTGATTTAGCATGAGCAGCTGATTGGCGGTTGGATCAGCCTCCCAGAATACCGCTGATCAGCTGTTCCAGGCTGCGGGGATTGCCACTGCCGCCGCCCATCGCTACTACTTATCGCCACCTCCACGCGCCCCATTTTTGGCCTCAGCTTGTCCTGTTTTTGGCCTCCGTGCATCCTATTTTTGGCCCGTTCCAGGCAAGAGGCGGAGGTGGCAGCAATCCTCACCACCTAGAACAGGCTGAAAATAGGACATGCGGAGGCTGAAAATGGGGCACATAGAGGTGGCGATGGGCGGCGTCGTTCCCTGCAGCCTGGTACAGTTGATCGGCAGTATTCTGGGGGACCAATCCAACCACTAATCAGCTGCTCGTGCTAAATCAGGCTGTGCTGAAACTGACAGATTGTTTGCTGTTTGCTGCAAGGAGGCAAATTGCTGGGAGGCAGAGACAGATTTTTTTTCCCCCTCCCCAAAAGCTTGGTGCGTCTTATGGTCCAGAGGGTCTTATAGTGCGAAAAATACAGTAAATAAAACTTTGCCCATGCTCAGATAAACTTTCGCTATTATCTTGAACTTCCAATGAAAAACGGTCAGTTTCAAGGAACAGCTTAGTTTACTACCCAGTTATTGAACAGCATTGTCTAAATTTTGCTCATTTTTGTTTTAGGTCCAGATGTTCAACGGGATAAGCTTGTAACAGGAGAACAAATAGAATTATTTGCTAACAGACTTGGTGAATATTGGAAAGTCCTGGCTCCATACCTGGAAATGAAAGACTCTGATATAAGGCAGATTGAATCAGATAGTGAAGATCTGAAGATGAGAGCTAAGCAGTTGCTTGTTACCTGGCAAGATCAAGAAGGAATCCACGCTACTATGGAAAATTTGATTACTGCATTGAACAAAGCTGGACTGAATGACCTTTCTGAAAGCTTATCCAATGACAGTGAAAACAGCTAATTTGAAAATGGCTTTTTATTTAAAACAATGGCTATTGTTCCCGAATGTAATATTTGATAGGGCAGTTTAATTTGATGAACAATAAATCTTTTAATTACATAATTGTCTAAAATTCTGCAAAGAATTAGTACTAAACAAACATTCCTCTGAAATCCTTAAGATGTGGAAAAGTAGAAAATATATATTCATGTGTGTGCTATAAAAGAGATTTCTTTAATATAACTGAGTGTGTTTTAAGGGGTCAATCTCAAATTACATTCAAGCACACATTCCATTTCTTTACTGAAGAGCTGGCAAAGGCAATTGCTGTTTGTTTGCTAACAAGCTTTGTATATAGAAAATCAACAAGGACTACATTACAGTTAGGCTATGATTTTCATATAGTCTGTTATAATGGAGTACCTCCAAATGATGTTGATAGCAGAACTGCAACTAATATTTAGTTTTGATCATTCTGGGTCAGGCTTTTTAAAAAAAATCAGGCACAATGCTGATTTGAAATGAAAAAGCAAATTGGTTAACATTGGGATTCTGATTGTAATGTTTTGTAGTTTTTTAAAAAAGTGGCGTATTGAAGAGGACACTGATATTCTTCTCATTTGGCAAATTGTGCTGTTTTTTGATAGAACTCCCTGAAACTCAGGAGTAGTGAACCTATCACTTATGTCAAGTGTTCAGGTAAATCTGTTTAAAAAGCATTTTGTTGGAGGAAAATATTTCTAGGTGTTCTAGTTTGGCCTTGTGTTTAAGTGAAATGAGCTGTAAAAGCACTCAACTTTTCACCCTAATGTAAGCATCTCGATGCTGAAGAAAGACCAATTACATCCTACTTAATTCACAGAATTCTGTGGCTTTTTTTATAAACTTAATTCAGTGTATATTTCAATTTGTTCAACTTCTGGAAGGATAACTTCTGTCTACTACCCTGGTTAACTGCTGAAGTAGGTAATGCTGATGCAAAGAAATTCAGTATAAAGAACACACTGCAAAAAGCCCTCTTCTTTCAGTACTTTGGTTATAACATACTATGTCTATCTGTTGATGGCAACTGTACTATCTTTTAGAACCATTATTTTGATAAATGTCTGCTGGATGACATTGTAATTGGATCTTAAAAAATTAAATGCTAGTGGTTTTGATCTCTAGATTTAGATGGTGAGGAGGTGGTATGATATTGTATGCCAGGCCTGTCAACCTGATGGCCTGCCGGCTGGATGAGTCATGCATAGGCCACATCCACCCCAGCTCTGCAAAGGCAAAAAAATTCACGATACATCACGTGACGTGATTGACTTGGACACCCGTGCTGTATGCTGTCCCTCAGAAGTTTGGGGGCATATTAATGGCTTTCATCTTGCTATTCATGAACCTGTTTTCCAGTCAAAATTGTAAGATCTAGATCAGAATTTCTAAACCTCAACCCAGCATGCTGGTTGTAAGAATTGTGGGAGTTCAAGTTAACACATCTTAAAATAGCTGAAGTTGAGAAACCCTGATGTATATTATTTTTTGTGTGGATAGGATAGGATAATCATGGCATTTTTGGCTGCCTTTTCCCACATGAGGCTTGCCTTTGTTCTCCACTTTTGTATTTCCAGTCTCATGAATTGCGCTCTCCTTTTCAAGGTTTTTGAGGTTAAGAGTGAAGTTAGATAGTAACTGTTTACTAAGCAACTCTTTTCTTAACCAAGACAGTTTTGTTCCATTCATTAAAAATATTTCTAATCTATATTTCAGCTAAGACATTCCCGTTTACTATCAAATAATGTGGTTTATCTACAGTAGTTTAACAATATCGTGAAAACATCTAATTCCCCTAAGTCCTCTTGCCTAAAAAGGTATTTACATTGTTAAACCACTTATACCATCACCTTCATCACCATCTGTTGTTCTTCCAAGGCTTCTAGAGTCTTCAAATAGAAATCCTGAACCCCTTAAACCATTTGTTTCATTTGCCAGTAAAAAAATCCCAAGCCATTTGGCTTGGAGGAGTTGAAACTTGCCTTAAGGAAACTTGGTTACAGTTCTTGTTGTATTTGGTTGTACCACAAGTGTGCTAGTGCCCATATGTTTTTCTGTATGTAAGCAATAGTTATTTTCTCTCTTGCATTCTTTCCAATAGTTGTGGTCCTATTATGTGTGTTGTTAATATTAGTCCAAGAGTGATAAGGATCAAGAGACCATTCATACGTTTTCCTTTTGTGTCACTAACTCTGGTCACTGGAATTAAGATTCACTTCTTGAGAAAAAAGTCAGCAAGCCTAGACTGGGTAGGGTTGTTGTTTGTTTGTTTTTTGAGATTTAATATACACTACTCAAAAAAATAAAAGGAACACAAGCAGAAGACATCCGAGATCTGAATGAATGAAATAGCCTTATTAAATACTTTGTTCGTTACATACAGTAGTTTTGTGTTCCCTTTAGTTGTTTGAGCAGTGTATAAACTACTGTATGTAAAGAACAAAGTATTTAATAAGACTATTCCATTCATTCAGATCTCGGATGTCTTCTGCTTGTGTTCCCTTTATTTTTTTGAGCAGTATATAAATCAGTATCTTCAGTTTCTGGGCACAGCCTTTTTGTTTGTAGCCATCTTTAGCAAGGACCATTCATTTCAGTGACTTTCCTTCATTGGCTCAATTTATAAACATCATTTAGTAAGTGCTTATGGAAATTCTACAAAAAGACAATTATTTAAAGGTTCAGCTGGAAATTGCAGATTCTCTCTTTATATCTGGATGAAAACAGTTTAGCTGATACACCAAACTTTACAACTTTCTAATTTATTTGTGTTCAATTGTAATTTCTCAATGTTATCAGCATACAACGCAGGTATGCTGATAACATTACTTATAAACAGGTTTATTTGTAGAGGTTTCAGCTCAGTTGTAATGCTTTCTTTTACTCCCTTTCTTCTGAGCAAAACAGTGGAACAAAACGGAATCAGATTACACATTCGTGAAAATTTCCCATAGGAACAGAGCAAGATTGGAACTATGAATTTAAGGGGTATGTTTTCAAACCTTTTACCTAGAGCAGCTCAACAGACTACATCTGCTTTAAGAAAAATATAACTATTTAATTTGCTGTACAGAAAGGGAAGTTTTTAACAGGATTATCTTTTCAAACTTACTAAAATTTGCATTTATTTGGTTTATTTAATATAAATTAGCTCCAGTTCATATCATTAAGCAAAGATATGCTTAATGCAACTGAAATCTTTTAAGTTCTATTCCTTCATATTCAATAGGCATTTTCAATGTAACACTTTTTAAAATATTGGTTTGTTTTATATTTTAAGATTTCTGTATCTTCCTCTAGATAATCACTTATCATTATTGGCCAACTTCAGTACCCTGCCTAGATGGCAAAATTTTAATGTCCAATAGTCAGATGCTAATTCCTGTAACTCTCAACTCTTTGATTGCCAGATCACCATGCATTTGAAAGTATGGTACCTGAATGGAAGGAGACAGACACAAGTTTTAGATAGAACACAAATGCCAACCATATTTATGTAAGAAGCACCATCATTACTGATCACTTTTTATTTGGAGTCAAAAATGCCAGCAACAGAGCAGACTGAGTTGGCACATCAGGCTGGACAAATACGTGATTGTAGCCATATTTCCACAGGCTATGAGCAGCAGCACTGAGTTACATGTTGAGGCAACAATTGAGTTTTATCTTTCTGACACAATAAAAAGGATGGACAGCTACTGAACTGGTAGAAACCATGCAGGAGTTAACAAAGGTATGAATAGGTGTGCAATAAATATCTTCCTAAAAAATTAGACGAGCAGGAGGCTCACTTAATTTCATTAATAGTTAACATTGTTTTAAATATCAACTTTTGCAATACAGTATTAAAATTATTTTCAAATGTTATCAACCTACCCCTAGTAAGTGGCTGTTTGCTATTGGCTTTAGTTTTAAACACGTTTTGCTGTCTTTTTGCACCAAATGGCAGTATTTTAGTGATCCAATTTTGCAGTTTCTGTGAGTCTGGAATTAAGACATTTATTTCACACCTTACAGATGTATATAGGAAGTCTACTGTTCAGATTCATCTTCCACTACTTCAATTCTGCGTGGCCCATAAAGTAGAACATAAGCTATATGCCAGTCTCCACCGCCCGATAACCTCAAAATATCTTCAGGGGTAACAATGCTGACTTTGTCATCATCAAATTTAATCCATTCATCTGTGGGAGAAAAAAAACCATAGTCAGTAACACTTTAAATGACATTAATGTGAGAGCCAGTGTGGTGTAGTAATGAAGGTGCTGGCCTAGAAAGAAGGAGACTCTAGTTCTAGTGGGCATGAAAGCCGCGAAGTGGCTTGGGCATGAAAGCCTGTTGGGTGACCCTTGGCATGTTATTCTCTCACAACCCAATCCACTTAAAAAGTTGTGGAGAAATTGAAGGGGGAAGTCTTAGATATGTCTCCACCTTGATTTATATATTAAAAAGGCAGGATAAAATAATCAACAGTGCAGAATTAATTTTTCAAGGAAGGCTGCCAAGTAATTTATCCTATCACTTGGCTATTTTCTAAAATTGCTACAATACCTTGTTTTCTTTTAACCCAAGATACATAGTGTCCAGAAGAACTAGATCGTCCTTGATGAGTTAGCACTGCCTGTAGCTCATAATAACCACAATTATTGGAACCAATATCTGAGAAGGCAAAGAAGATGGTACAATGTGATATAATAGTAAATACTTTACATATTGTTATCCATTTATTTTATTTATTTATTTATTACATGTATTTATATGCCGCCATTCTCCCAAAGGACTCAGGGCGGCGAACACAAGTTAAGAAACAAGTACAATAAATCATAATTTAATCCAAATAATTAATTAATAGTAAATAATAAAGCCCGGAATCAGTCTCAGCCTATTTGTTTATTTTGAAGCTCTCACCTTCAGAATCAGAACATGGGAAGCAGATTAATCCCACAAAATACATTTGGGACAATGATTTCTATCCATCAATAAAATGTATTCTCAACTTTGCATGTTCCAATCCCCATTTCAGAATACAGAATAACAGTTGGAAGGGATCTCAGAGGTCTTCTAGTCCAACCCTCTCCCCTGTTCAGACAGGAAGCCCTATACCATTTCAAACAAATGGTTGTCCAATCTCTTCTTAAAAACTTCGTGTTGAAAGTATTCACAACATCTGGAGGCAAGTTGTTCCACCAATTAATTGTTCTGTCAAGAAATTTCTCCTTAGTTCTAGGCTGCTTCTCTCCTTGATTAGTTTCCATCCGTTGCTGCGTCTCCTGCCTTCAGGTGCTTTGGAGAATTGGTTGACTTCTCTTTGTGGTGACCCCTTAGATACTGGAACTCTGCTATGATGTCATTCCTAGTCCTTCTTTTCATTACACTAGACATACTCAATTCCAGCATACCCAATTCTTTATCTATTTTAGCTTTCAGTCACCTAATCATCTTCTTAATCATCTTCATCTTATTCTTCTCTGCACTCTTTCTAGAATCTCAACATCTTTTTTACATTGTGGCGACCAAAACTTGATGCAGTATTCCAAGTTTGGTCTTATCAAGGCATTACAAAGTGCTATCAGCCCTTCATGTGATCTTGATTCTATCAATTAATCAGAATAGAGCTGGAAGGGACCTTGGAGGATTTCTAATCCAACCCCCTGCTCAAGCACCCCTAGTCCTTCTTTTCTCCAGAATGGCCATATCTAATTCTTGCAACCATTCTTCATATGTTTGTATCTCCAGGTTAATTATCTGAGTTGCTCTTCTTTGCACTTTTTCCAAACATCTTTTTTGTAATGTGGTGACCAAAACTGGATGCAGCATTCCAGGTATGGTCTTACTAAAGCTTTTAAAAGTGGTACTAATACTTCACATGATTTTAATTCTATCTCTCTGTTAATGCAGCCTAGGACTGGCAGCTGCAGCACACTGCTGGCTCCTGTTTAGGTGATTGTCCACTAGGACTCCAAAATCACTCTCTCAATTACTACTACTACTAAACCAGGTACCACCTATACCATATCTGTGCATTTGGTTTTCAAAAGATTGCTGGATGCTTTTAATTTTTTTAAACTCTAAGCAGTCCCAAAGTCTCACTGCTTAAGCAGATCATTGCTTCCAAAACATTCAT